AAAAAAACCTACTACATTTTTAAAATGTTATATTTTTAAAAAATTTAAAAAAATGTATTGAACAAATTTTGTAAACTTTTTAAAACCCCTGCACCCCTCTACAAAATCCCTGCACCCCCTCACACACAGTTACAGGCAGACAGTCAAACACAGTTACAGGCAGACAGTCACACACAGTTACAAGCAGTCACACGCACACAGTCACATGCAGACAGTCACACATATAGTCACAGGCAGTCATACACATAGTTACAGGTAGAGAGTTACACACGAACACAGTCAGTTACAAGCAGTTACACACAGTCACACACACTGTTACAGGCAGACAGTCACATATACAGTCACACACACGGTCACAGGCAGACAGTCACACACACAGTTACAGACAGTTACACACAAAGTCAGTTACAGGCAGCCACGCACAAAGTTACATGCAGACAGTCACAGACAGACAGTAACACACAGTTACAGGCAGCATCACACAGTCACAGGCAGACTGTCACACACAGTCACAGACAGTCACACACACAGTTACAGGCATGCAGTCACACACACACACACATACACACACAGTTACAGGTAGACAGTTACGCACATACACACAGTTACAGGCAGACAGTCACACACACACAGTTACAGACAGACAGTCTCTCACACACATATTTACAGGCAGACAGTTATACACACACACAAGACAGACAGTCACACGCACACACACACACACACACACAGTTTCAGGCAGACAGTTACACACACACACACACAGTTTCAGGCAGTTACACACACACACAGTTTCAGGCAGACAGTTACACACACACACACATACATATTTACAGGCAGACAGTTATACACACACACAAGACAGACAGTCACACACACACACAGTTACAGACAGACAGTCACACACACAGTTACAGACAGTCTCACACACACACAGTTTCAGGCAGACAGTTACACACACACACACACACACACACACAGTTTCAGGCAGACAGTTACACACACACACACACACAGTTTCAGACAGACAGTTATACACACACACACACACACACACAGTTTCAGGCAGTTACACACACACACACACACACACACACACACACAGTTTCAGGCAGACAGTTACACACACACACAGTTTCAGGCAGACAGTTACACACACACACACAGTTTCAGGCAGCAGTTACACACACACACACACAGTTTCAGGCAGTTACACACACACACACAGTTTCAGGCAGTTACACACACACACACACACTCTTATACTTACAGAAAGTGTGTGCTGGAGATGTGGATTCCCTGTCCTGAAGTCCTTCCCTGGCTGGAGGTGGAGGTGCAGGGATTTCTTCTTGCTGCACCTCCATGTGCAGCTTTAACAGCAGCTTGTAAGGGCTGTGTTAAGCCCCACCCCTGCTCACAGTTAGGACCACCCCTAAATGGCAGTAGCTCCGCCCCTTCTTCCTCCTGTGCGGCCAGTTTATCTTGCTGGTCTCCGTGTGAGCTGTGTGACACCCCAGCTGCCATGGGGCACAGCTCACACAGCCCCCTCAGCCCCAAGACCAGGGTCAAGGCACCCCCCTACCAGGTGGCACCCCCCTACCAGGTGGCACCCCCCTACCAGGTGGCACCCGGGGCAGACCGCCCCCTCCGCCACCCCCTTAATCCGCCACTGCTCAATGGGTTGAAAAATTAGATTTACATTTTTTAATTGTTGTATGATTTTGTTCAACTATGTAAAGAACAAAGTATTTCAGAAGAATATTTAATTCATTCAGATCTAGGATGTGTTATTTTTGTGTTACCTTATGATAACTTAGTAGTAATATTTTATTAATACATTTGTTTGCACTTTGTCTAAATTAAACTGAGCTTTTTCACTATTTTGCTTCAAAATGATCTCCTTAACCTGATTACTTGGGTATTTTTGTGGGAGTCTTGGTATATCAACATAAAATGTTAAAAACATTATTTTTCTAAGACAGTCTGCACTAATATGTGTATTTATGTAATTTTTTACATGTGCTGTGAGATGTGTTGACCTGGGGCCATCTACTGACCATTGAGTATTACTACAACCTTTTTAAATTTTTTACCATTCTTACTTGGTTTTGGCTTACCACCTAAATGTATATTTTACTATACTGCTCCACTCTTCTTTTTTAGATTTTCTTTTGACTTTGTTGTGTGTGTTGGGGGTTCCACACATTGAGTGTGTAAGCAGCATTTCAAACATTTCATACCAAATCTAAGTTGTATCAATATTCAGATTGTCAGAGCGCTCCGAAATCAGACTTAAATACTTTCCCTAAACACACGTTCTCTACAGCCTCCACACTACAACACTACAGCAACACTACAGCCTCTATGTACACACTCGCTGTATCCCATATATAAACTATGCACCCTATACACACACATTCTCTCACTCTCTACAACCCCATGCCACATATTTTACACCACAAACACAACACAACTGAATCCAATCTTCACAAAGAACCAAGCCACAATGAGCTCACTCTACACTTCATCAAGCAGCCTTCACATGTAAATATGCTTTCCTAGTCTTTTTGTCCTCTGGTATCCCACTTATGCAGACACTAGAGACAAGTCATAAGCAAACACAGCGCAAGTATGCCATTAAATTTGCTTATGCTGCACATCAAATACAGGGCCTTTTTTTTTATCATGCAAGAGCTCTTCAGCAGGATTCTGCACATGGTCTGCACTGGAAGAGCATTGAACTAACATGCTCCATTTTTATTCTTTTTGGAAGGCTTAACTGTTGCTTATTTATTGTATTTTTTTCTAAAATATTGATTTCTAAATTGCAAATGCAGAATATAAAGTACAGAAATAAATCATATTTTAATTACATTTCTGTCCCAATTGTGACCTTTGGTTGATAATACTATTGAGCATATCTTCACAGAAATCTTTTTTATGTGTACATTTATTTATTTACAGAACCAGAGAATCCCTCCTGACATGGTGTTTCTCTGAACCTCTGAAAAAACAGGTATGTTAAACTGCATTGTTGTAGTCAGTAAACAATACAATAAGCCTAGCTCAATTCCTCATAGATTAAAGGGGTGCATGGGCATTCACAGGGGGATTCAGAACACACTGCAATACATGTGTATGGAGAGAGGCAGGGAGAGGATTCTACATCCCTGCTTCTCTCTCCTGACTAAATCCGCAGGGGAGCTGCACAGAGTGCAGCCAGCAACTCCCAGACTGCAAAGACAGCCTACAGATCAGGCAAGTGAGGGATGGGGGGCAGCCTACAGATCAGGTAAGTGAGGCATGGGGGGGGGGCAGCTTACAGATCAGGTAAGTGAGGCATGGGGGGTGGCAGCCTACAGATCAGATAAGTGAGGCATGGGGGGCAGCTTACAGGAAGGGTCAGAAAGGAGCAGGAAGCTAAGTAGAAGAAGCAGCAGAAAGGACAAGGAGCAGAAATTAGCAGGAGCAGAAATTAGCAGGAAGGGACATTAAAGGAACACAATAGGGTCAGGAACACAAACATGTATTCATGATCCTATAGTGCAAAACCCACCATTTAGGTGGCTTGCCCCCCTTAGCCCCTTAAAAGTTAATAAAACTCACCTTATTGTCTTTCGGTGCTGGCCCTGTCCCGCATTTGAAACACTGCATCTCTATGAGGAAAATTCAGCATCCCCATGCAGAGTGTGGGGACGCTGAATGGCACTGCTACCTACTGTGCAGCACTGAGCTAGGAGGCCCCTCCAGTGGCCATCTGAGGAGTGGCCACTTGGAGGTTTCCCTAGGGGCAATGTAAACACTACCATTTCTCTGAAAAGGCAATGTTTGCATGAAAATGCCTGTAGGTAATGATTATACTCACCAGAACAACTATATTAAGCTGTGGATGTTGTGCTGGTGACTATAGTGTCCCTTTAAGGAGCAGAAAGGGTCTGCAAGGAGCACAAAGTTAAAGTAGGAGAAGGAGCACAAGGGAACAGAACGTGTCAGCAAGAAGCTGGAAAGTGCAGCAAGGAACAGAAAGGCTCAGCAAGGAGCTGCAAGGGGCAGAAGAAGCACAAAGGTAAAGTAGGAGAAGGAGCAGAAATGAACAGAAATGAGCAGAAATGGTCTGCAAGGAGCATAAAGGGGCAGCAAGAAACACAAAAGGTAAAGGAGCAGAAATAATCAGTAGGAGCACAATGGTAAAATGGTAAAGTAGGAGAAGGGGCAGAAAGGAGCACAAAGGGGCAGCATGAAGCAGAAAGGGTTAGCAAGGAGCAGTAAGGGTCAGCAAGGAGCAGGAAGGGACAGAAGAAGCACAAAGGTAAAGGAGCAAAAAAGAATCAGAAGGAGCACACAGCTAAAGTGGGAAAAGGCACAGAAAGTGTCAGCAAGGAGCTAGAAGGGGCAGAAGGAGCACAAAGGTAAAGTAGGAGAAGGAGCAGAAAGGAACAGAAATGAGCAGGAAGGGTCTGCAAGTAGCAGGAAGGGTCATAAGGAGCAGAAGGGAGCAAAGGTAGCAAAAAGAAAAAGGAGCAGAAGGGCACAAAAGAAACTGAAAGGTAAAGAAGCAAAAGGAGCCAAGGAGAAGAGAAGACAGTGTCAGAATAAAAAAAGTCTGTGCCAAATGAAGGAGAAGAAAAGATTGGAGCAGGAAGGACAAGTGAAGTGATCCCTCCACTTCATTCTGGACACCACATCACAAGGCTTTGGTCCCTGGGCCTGGCAAGAAAACTTTGGACCTTTTCATCTCCCCAGGTAAAAAAATGGATGTCCTGGTTTTTTATTTTGAAAATCTGGTCATCCAGGCTTTATGTGATAATGACTATGCACCTCCCCTTCATGACACTGTCAAAAAGGGGCCAAGCATGGATGTCATTACAATTATGATCCCCCTGGAAAAATTCCTGCAGGTGCCGATGAAGGGGCGTACTTCACCTCTCATTATCCCCTTTCTATCATTTTAAAGTACTGCAGAATAAATTGGTACTATATAAATGCTAATTATAATAATACCTGTATTCATTTTAGGCCACTTGACCAAAAATAATATTGTGTGCAGGAAAGTGAAATTCCTATAGCTCAACGCACCAGCACATGTAGATATGGGGGCCGGACAGGCATTTGTTTTCTCCTTTTTAGCCATGTTGTGTACAAGCAAATTGCACCATTAGCACTTTATGTATATGTGTGGGTACAAAAATACTGATACTGTAAATGTTTTGTCCTCAGTAGGCATGTCCAAGCCACACTGCCAAAGTTCAAGGTAGTTGGGATCCAAGTAAAAGCTGTGATTTCTGCCTTGCCCCACCTTCCTCATATTCACAACTCTTAGATTGACAAAACCAACCTTACTATGCCGTGGGTGAAATGGCAAAATGGCATCAGAATTGTGTTTGTTTTTCAGAAGGTGAGAGTGTATACACAATGGTCCCTCTAGGGAAAACAGAAAAATTAAGGGAAATATCAGGAGTGGTGTAACAAACATAGAGTAACCTTTTTTTTTTTTTTCTCACGTGTGAGTCAGGTGGGAGAGAAGTGATAGAAAAAAGAAAAAGAAAATTCTTGGTGCTCTCACTGGTAATATAAGTGTTCACAAGGGTGATTAGAATTCTGGGAGTTAAGAGGGTATGGACAATGCTGTTAGGGGGTATGGATTTACTTGAAAGACAAAAGCATAAATTAGAGGGATATTAGCATAGAGTATGTGTTTTTGTATAGCTGCATCCTTTGAGTTTCTCTCCAGCACCATCTCCATCAGATACATGATGCTTGGGAGGTATGATTGTTTTAGTGTTTTTGGTTGATAAGATTCTGTATTTAGGTCCATCATAATTGTCAGCACCACTGGGCTCTTAATCTGGCCCTGAATATGGGGAAGAAAATGGATCTCTCTGCTGCCGAAAAGAGTGAAATAGTTCAATGCATTGGACGAGGTATGAAAACATTAGATAGTTCACGAAAACTTAAGCGTGATCATTGCACTATTAAGAGATTTGTGGCTGATTCAGAGCACAGACGGGTTTGTGCAGATAAAGGCACATTGAGGAAGATTTCTGCCAGATCCATGCATCGGATCAAGAGAGCAGCTGCTAAAATACCATTACATAGCTGCAAACAGATATGTGAAGCTGCTGGTGCCTTTGGAGTCCCACGGACATCAAGGTGTAGAGTCCTCCAAAGTCTTGCAACTGTGCATAAACCTTCTATTCGGCCACCACTAACCAATGCTCACAAGCAGAAATGGCTGCATTGGGCAGAAAAATACATGAAGACTAATTTTCAAACAGTCCTGTTCACTGATGAGTGCCGTGCAACCCTGGATGGTCCAGATGGATGGAGTAGTGGATGGGTGGTGGACGGCCACCCTGTTTCAATAAGCCTGTGACATCAGCAAGGCGGTGGTGGAGCCATGTTTTGGGCTGGAATCATGGGAAGAGAGCTGGTCGGCCCCTTTAGGGTCCCCGAAGGTGTAAAGATGACCTCTGCAAAGTATGTGGAGTTTCTGACTGACCACTTTCTTCCCTGGTACAGAAGGAAGAACTATGCTTTCCATAATAAAATCATCTTCATGCATGACAATGTGCCATCTCATGCTGCAAAGAATACCTCTGCATCAACGGCTGCTATGGGGATAAAAGGAGAGAAAGTCATGGTGTGGCCTCCATCCTCCCCTGACCTCAATCTTATTGAGAACCTTTGAAGCATCCTCAAGCAAAAGATCTATGAGGGTGGGAGGCAGTTTACATCCAAACAGCAGCACTGGGAGGCTATTCTGACATCTTGCAAACAAATTCAAGCAGAAATTGTCCAAAAACTCACAAGTTCGATGGATGCAAGACTTGTGAAGGGGTCCTATGTTAAAATGTAATGTGACATGTTAAAATGTTTAAAAAGTTAAAATGTTGTTATAAGTTTGATTGAAATAGCTTTTGATATCAGTAAATATGCTGCAAACACAACAAATGACAATTTTCAGTTCTTTACAACCTATAAAGTGTTTTGAAACTTACTGTGCATAATAATTTGGAACAGTGCATTGTAAGTTTTTTATGTTTAAAAAAAAATATTATTATCATTAGGAGGTTTGTTCAATAAAATTTGAATTGTACTCTTAATAGTTAATAACATGAGAATTATGTTAACTGTTATTTACATCACTTATTTAGGTAAATGAGAAAAATATAATTTGCATAATAATTTGGAACAGGGTATATATACACATACATACATCATTAATAAAAGTGTTTTTTCATATTAATATATACATAAAGGGACACTATGGTCTCCAAAACAACTTTAGCTTAATGAAACAGTTTTGGTGTATAGATCATGCCCCTGCAGTCTCAGTGCTCAATTATCTGCCATTTAGGAGTTAAATCACTTTATGAACCCTAGTCACGCCTCCCTGCATGTGACTTGCACAGCCTTACTAAACACATCCTGTAAAGAGCCATCTAATGTTCATCCTTCCTTTATTGCAAGTTCTGTTTAATTTAGATTTTCTTATCCCCTGCTATGTTAATAGCTTGCTAAACCATTCAAGAGCCTCCTGTATGTGATTAAAGTTATATTTACAGAGCAAGAGATACATTTTAAAGTAAATTACATCTGATTGAGAGTGAAACCAGTTGTTTTTTTTCATGAAGGCTGTGTCAATCAAAGCCAGGGAACGTGTGGCAAGGGCTGAATAAACAGATACAAAGTGATTTAACTCCTAAATGGCAGTGAATTGAGCAGTGAAACCTGCTTCAATAAACTAAAGTTGTTTAAGTGAATATAGTGTTCCTTTAATATTAAAATACACTTACAATGATGTGAATTATATATATATATACATATATATATATACACACACAAAATAAAAATAATCAATAAATAAATTGAAAAAAATGAAAAAATTAAATAAATTGATAAAAATAAATGTAAAAAAAATTAAATACCAGTTTTAATTTGTTCTAACTGTATTTTGATATTAATATACATACATATAATATACATTAAATTCAAAATACATTTAGAAAGATGTTATAAATACATATGTGTATCTATCTATATATATATATATATATATATATATATATAAAACTATATATAAAAATAAAAATTATTAAAAATTTTATATATATATATATATATATATATATACATATATTTGTGTTCGGGGCCAGTATGGTATGAAATAGCTAGTGAGTATGCTTATCACAATAAATAAAAGTCGTGTGTGGTAGGCCTGTAAATAAGTGGGCCTACCTTAAATAGTATTGAATAGAGGGAGAGGAGGTTGGGCCAAAAGTATGTCTGGACCAGTAGGTAAGTTAGGTAGGAGGCGGAGTCCCTTTTAAATGGACATAGCCCCTCCCACAACTTCAGGCCCCAACTTCCAATTTGTGTTCGGAGCCATTTCAGTATGGTATGAAATAGCTAGTGAGTATACTTATCACAATAAATAAAAGTCAGTTAAGGTGTGCCAAAACCGACATGTGTGGTAGGCCTGTAAATAAGTGGGCAAAAAGAAATACCCATATAGTGTTATCAAAGATATTTATTACGAAAACACAAGACATGGAGTGTCACGGGTGGCGGTACGGAAACCAGGACCCCTGAGTGCCTGATGATAAGTGGGAGTCTTCAGCGTGGAAGAGGATTATCAGGGCCTGGTGCAGGGTAACCACACGCCCCCTGGTGCTAAGCACCAGCGTTTGTGCGGCCACATACCAGAACCCTGATGCAGCTACTGCGGATCCCAAAAGCTAGGAGCAGGAATTAAGCAGACCTCCCAGGAGCTGAATAGGGAAGCTCTACAGCAAGAATGTATCCAGTACAGAAACAAGACAAGGCTAGGATAGTCACCAAACATGAAAACAAGACAGAACTAGGAGAACCCAGAACCAGAGAAGGACAGGAAGCTAAACCCAGAACATGTACACAACACATAAGGGAACCATAAACATAACATGGACAGTACAAGACAGGGCTGTACATGGACTGGGAATACAAACTAAATCAAGACAAGATATGATAGGCAAAACAAGAGGAGACCTAACTAAGTACTATATATGAAAATCATGGAGATTTAGTCACATTATATGATCATACATTGCATAAGCCTGCCAACAACGCCAATGTACCCCATATCTGGCAGGTCCTACTCTGCCTAATGCAAGCTAAACCAACCAAAGAAAACAAACATAGTACTTACCTGCAAGAAAGGGCAGAAGTCATGAGCAGCTGCCTGCAGGGACACTGAAACAAAAGGAATGATGGAAAACAAACGGGTGTGGCAACATAAAACAAATATTTAAAGGAAATCTGGAGACTGGGAATTCCAGTGACGGATTACAGGAATGAACCAAGAAAAACCCAGCATAAAGAAAACCAGACATAGAATAGAAAACCAGAAAAACCAAGAAAAACTAAACAAGAAATGTAAAAAGAGTACTGGATACCAGAAGCCAAAGTCAGACATCTCCACAGAACATGGCATGATGTGACATGGAGTTAGCATATTACGATCACATTTTCACAAATGCATTTATTAATTCCTGTATCGGCTGAGGTATGTAGACAACGTAAGCGGATGACTTCCAGCGGCCCATGGTTTTTATGACATGGACCGGGATGTCTAGGCTTGAGGCTGTGGAGGCTGCCCCTATCCTAAATGAATGCCCAGAATATTTTGTGGGGTTTAAGCCGAGTCGGGTCAACAGCGTATGTACATTATAAATTTAGCGGTGGTGAGTACTGTACCGTGCAGTGAAAGGAGAGGGAGTGAGGTTTGTGCAGGTGGTGACTTTAGATATGTGTCAAAGACTTCCACCGGGCACCATGTGTTGTTGATGGGATAGTACTGAATAAGTACCTTGTGACCCAGCTGGCTGGTCTTAGTTGAAGGTAAGCTTAATACGTAGTGATCCTTTATTTTGTACAGGTTAGAATACCATAGGCAATGCTTGGAATCGTGTTGCCCTGTGATGATAAATTCTCGGGCTCGTAGGAAACCATAAAACACCAAGTATATGGCGGTTTTGAGAATGGTGTTTGTAAGAGGTTCGAACGGTGTGGTATCCAGTAGGCCTGACATACGTTTAAAAAAATTTATGTCTGTAGGCCACCTACATTGTGGAGTAGGTCCTTGTAATTTGAGTATACCCCTAAGGAGAGTTTTTATGGGAGAGGAGGTGAGAAATCCTTGGTTGTTGGGTTGTTCTGTGAGCATGTGATGTTG